CGTACACAAAAATCATATGCATCTAGTTCAAATTATGTTAATTGCATCTTTGGAATCTAACAATTTAGGATCTATTTGGGATTGTTTCCAAGAAAATGTTTTCTAACAATTAAAAGTGCTAATAATTGTGCTTGCCAGGTTACTTCACCCATTAGTGTTTTCAAGAGAAGCTCCTGCTATGTGTTTTTTTTCAAGAATCAGTTAAGTTTTTAAGTGTAATTCGACGTGCTTATGGTGCCACTTCTAGCAGAAATGTTATGAGCAGAAATATTCTTTTAGAAGCAATTACAAACGAAACCAGTAACTTAGTTTAATTTGTTTTTGTTAACAAACATTAGCCGACCCCTTAGAAAATTGTAGTTCCACCCCTATGATTAGAACCTAAAATTTTGTCCGACCCATATAAATTTACACTACTTTGTATACTAATTTTTTACAAATAAAATTCAAATGCTATGGTAGTATCTATGTAAACTTTGGAAGTGCATGGATTCAAATTTATAAAGAATAAAATACTTGTGTTAATTCCTCATATAGGGGAACCTACTTGTCTCCACACTTATAATTAACGTATCTTTACTGTGAAAACATTGTAATCAGAAATGTTCATTATCTTTATTATCATTAAAGATCTAATGTGCAAAAGATCATTTGGTATGGAGATATTTTAGTCATTCACATGCATTAAAACAAATGGACAGTTCATTATGAGAATGATGCTTGTTGCCCAAACCATTGATTGGTTTGACATGTGGCTAAAGAATCTCCAAAATGGAATAATTTTTTACAGATATGATATTTGGATGATGATAAAGAGAATGAACAATTTTGATTATGATGTTTGTACAATAGTGAACAATTTTGATTATGATGTTTGTACGATAAAAATATATTAATTATAAACAGGAAGACATGGGTATCACTATTCACCTCATTAAATATGTGAGTATAATGTCACGTCGTGTATAAAAAAAACCATAGCACTTTCACCCACCAACTGGTATATACTCTTGGAGCATTTTATCCTTTACGGTAGATGATACCTACCAATATAATTAATTAGCCTAGCCTTAATAGGTGATCTTTTCTTTTGGACGTTTGCACAATAATTGATTGAAATGTTTTTAGATTTATATGTTTTGGCCTCATCGATTGTGTTCAGTCCCACCATGTGCGCGTAGAGATGTATATATATATATATATATATTAGCCAAGTCTAATAAAACAGAGCAATCGTATAAGACGATCGATCGAAACGGTGCGTCCAGCAGAGCAGCAGCAGCATAGGATTCCATGCAAAGAGCCTTGAATACGCTTATCTACCAGCCACCAAACATGCATGATCTCTCTCTCTCTCTCTCTCTCTCTCTCTCTCATACTATTAAAATCTAAAAAAAAAAAGTACAAAATATAAAGTATGGATTAGGATTACCAAATACCTCTCTCATACTATTAAAATCTAAAAAAAAAAAGTACAAAATATAAAGTATGGATTAGGATTACCAAATACCAACCCGTCGTGATATTGAATTTTTCCACGTGAAGTGTCCCCTTCCTAGCTTGGTTTTCACCGTCAATCGATATACGAAAGTGATATATATTGACATAGGAGAAGAATAATGTTTGGCCACTCAAAGACAAGTAGTCTTATTTTAAAAAATTTCGTGTTTTATTTACATAATTTTGTGTTTATAATATGAACCATTTATATTATGAATCACTTTATAAAGGTCATTCTATCAAAAATAAATTAAAACTAAGGTCGTTAAGTCAATCAACTATAGCAAATAAATAGATGGTTCGTAATGCTTTTACCATTTTCGCCCATTTGTTCGTAGACAATTTGATGTCTAAACGATCTTAATTTCAACTGATTTTTTGCTGACATGATCTTGATAAAGTGATTCATAATATGAACGGTTCATATCATAAACACGAACGTCCATGAATTAGAAACGAACAATTTTGAGTATGAGTTTCTACTCATTCTTTGAGTAGCCAAGTATTATTCATATGAGAAATGCTAAGGAGACAATCTCAAAGTGAGACTCTTTATAGACTTTCTGCTGACTACCTCACAATTTAACGTTAATTCTCGTGCCAATATTATAAATAATTGTACTAAAAGTACAAGGTGACAAAGAATCCATAGAAAATCCTACTTTCGAGAGTCTCTTTTAACATGAGAAACTTCTCATGAACATGCAAATAATATTCCCTTCACTACGTACCATACATTTTCCTAAATTTTCATGATTTATATAACATGGTTCCAATTTTGCCGAATGTCCCCGAAGGTAATATTATATTATTTGTATGATATGATATGGTGCATGCATGTATCTTAATAGTTTAGATTCAAATCAGTTCAGAGCTACCTACAAATGAAACATGCACTACGTCTTAAGCACTGTCATAATTTGAGATCCAATTCATGAGATTCGAATCTTTAGAATTGTCTTGTTTGGTGTTTTTACCATTAGTCATTGTGTACGTTAACACTAATTCAACTTTTTTGGACTTTTGATGGTTATTATTATAATTGGTAGCCAAAGAAAAAAAGGGTGTTGTCAAGTTAAAATTGTTGTTTTGAGAGCATTGGTAATATATAATTAATGAGATTGTGTGTCTACAATTATTTAGATTAGCCATATTCAATCTTTAAATTTGTTAGAATATTTCAAGTTCAGATCTTATGAACGATGAATTTGAACAATAATAATAATGAGATTGTATGTAGGCATGTGAGTTTGGTTGGGTATCGTTCTCAAGGCAAAAAATACGTACAGGTGTGGCTTCAATGTTACGTAGTACTTAATGATAGTGCTTTAGGCATTAGATTTGATTTCCACAATTATTAGGTCTTTTATTTTTAATCTTAGTCAATTATTTTCTATATCACTTAATATTGAAGAAAAATCGAAAAATACATGTAATGCCTACAATTATATAAATCGAATCCAAAGAAGTGTTCACATGGCTTACTTTATATATGCTAGCTAGAAAAGTAATACATATTTGATCCTCTAAAATTGGTTGTCCTAATGGCCATACATATAAAGTATAAACGTATGCATATATTTACAGCACAATGGCTGTGTAGAGAGGTTAATCATGATTTTATCCTATGCAAAGTTTTATCATATGAGGTAATTAAACTAAGACAACAACATTCCGAATCTTGCCTCGTTCTTTTTTTTTTTAAAAGAGACCAGTTGGTGGTCTTCATCAATAGTCCATTCTTCTAGGGGTTGGAAGACTCAGAGAGACATTTCAGCATTTTGGTTACCGTCGTGTAATTTACAAGTGTCAAGAATGGCATGTGAAACATGACCTGGACTTCTCATTAACTACTGGGTCACTCCATGGCGGTCCCAATCTTACGTCGTTTAGTTTTTCTTTTCTATATTATATTATTTAAATATTCAGTACGTATGACTTTTTACGTACACACATACATATATATAAGGGATGTGATATCCACACACTCTATTTTACTTCTCACATACCTTTTTAATTTTCAGCCGTCAGATCAAATGAATTAAAGAAGATCAACATACATAAATTATCAATGGGTGTATGAGAAGTAAAATGGGGTGTGTGGATAACACACCCCATATATAATAATAAGAAACCCATATGTTGCAATTTGCATGATACATCTCCATTTAGCAGACAAAATATAGTCACGAGAAAGCTCTGGAGCAAAGGTTCTTTCTTCAATCTAATTCTGTTTAGCCTTATTTAATTAATCAACTTTGTTAAGGAAAACTAAGTCAATTAGCAAAGGGGGAGGGAGGGACTAGTTTATTGTCTGCTTTGACTCGAATACAAAAGTCAGGTAACTTGTACCACATAAATTCACTGAGATTAATTCATTTGTTCATGTAAGTAAAAGTATCCATATTGTACGTAAAAAAGTTAATTTGAGTTAATAAATGGATACAGGAACCAATGGTGTAACATTAAGGGATTTTTTTTTCAAATTTTTTAAAGACGCATACTTAACTAAAACTATAGCGATATAGACTCTGCAGTTTGATAACCATTTTATTTTCAATTTTTGTTCACTTTCTTCGAAAACTGAAAAATAAAATAAAATTTATGGAACAATAGATTTTGTTAGATTAGATGTTAAATTAGCCGCTAGATTTTGTTAGATTAGATATTAAATTAGCCGCCGACAGGATTGAACTCACACAGTCATGCAAAAGCTCAACTCATTTCCACCACTATAGTAAATGGTCACTTGCTTCGAAAACTGAAAATTGGATACTACTTTTTGTGTGTGTGTATAAAATCGCATAATTGCATGAAGATTTAAATCAGAGGCTTGCTTTCACCTGCAATCTCTTCATGAAGAAGCACATGTACTTTTGTTTACCTATGCCAAACACTAACCACTACTTTAAACCAACAGTTTTGCTCATCCACTTCACCCAAACACATCAAAAGGAGTTTGTTTCGGTTTTCCAGGCCATTACGATCTCGTAGCCATACTTTTATAGTGCTGACCATAAAATGCTTGAACAAGGTCCAACTGCTGCTAAACTAAAACATCCATCCATAAACTCGGCAAATGGTGGTAGATGAAGGAAGTTTGGGTTCTACTATCAAACCGACAATATGGAGAGTAACCCCAACCCATGCAAGGTTTAATCCATTTGCGATGTGAGACTTTGTCCTTCACATTCTCACTAAAAACACCTGATTCTGGAAGGATGGCGAATCGGATCACAAATAATTACAAGAGAATGTGAATCCCTAAAATGTCACCAGAACAACCCTCTATCACAAGAGTGCAACTGTGCGAAAGACCATCCCGCAATTTTACGAATGTAAGCATGCAGAGTACTCGCAATGATAGCACAACCCATCAACCTAATAATCTTAACTCAGCAATGTCTCTCTAAAACAACATGGATGCCGCCGTTTGATGAGTAATGTACAAGAGATAATTAGAAATTTAGATTGTCGAGGAAAAGATGAAGCAACACATGAACCATGTCAAGTATGGAACAAGATAAAGCGATAATCTAGAGAAAGACCACACAATTAAGTAAGGATGAAATAACAAATGACTGGCATGTACATAACTCGTTGCTCACTCAGCACTAGCAAAATTTGAAACTATACTCTTAAGTTCATTCAGACCAGAATTTCACAAAGGCGTCTAAAAAAGCTTTAAATACATCCCAAAGTGGGTTACCTTCTGGTCTTTTGGACTTTTTAGATGCACCTTCCCATGATTCACTGCCCAAAGAAACAATTGACAAGAAAAATTAATCATCCTGAACAATCTTGTCAAATTTCCTAGTTTTGTGAAGTAACTGAACTGGGTTTACAACATATACTTACAGATTAATTCTGTCTAAAGTTGGTTTGCTTCCCTTCGTCAAACTGCTGCTGGTCTGGACATCAACTTCATCTTCAACCACAAGCACCTCTTTGGTTTTCAACAGCTCGCTGCTACCACTGGTACCGTTGATATTCTTTGCATGTAAACTATCTGGAGCTTTATCAGCCTGTTAATATGCACCAACAATTTAACGTTTATTGGTCAATGAATCTGAAATTTCCACTCCAACAAGTTTTGAACAATAATAGGTATACCATTCTTCATATCATTGTTAAGGAAAACAGAGTTCTTCACTCAACATGGTATGGACAATCAAGTTTTTGCTATCGCTATTAATCTAAGAGACAATGGTACAACAGTAATAACATCATGGTTAGAACTAGATAATACGTATCACAATATGGATACTGAACACATCTAATCCACAATTGTGAAAATTCAAAAACATGACAATATTGACAGTTCAGTTGTGAAGTTTGGTTGGTAATTATGACAAAAATGATGAAAATCTACACAAGAAGACATTCCAATTTAAAACTACCTTAGATCCCTCAGTCAGCTGGCTTTGTTCAAAGATCTCAGAGGTTGGAACATCTTTATGAGGTGATTTGACACTAAGGTCTGTGCTTCCTTTTTCATGCACAATACCTTCATTAAAGGTTGAGGAATTTGAGCTTTCAAGTGATGGATCTATGGCATGTCCTAGTGCTTCATCCACCGGGTTGGATTTGCTTTCAACCAATGGACTTGAAAGATTTATTGCTACATTATCATCCATGTTCTTCATGGAACTTAATCTATCCACTGGCGAACTATCAACACAAGCTGACTCCATCGCTCTAGTTCCTTTGTCCTCAGTAGACTTAGTCAAATCTGTTACTACTTGTAAACTTCTATCCAAGCTCTCAGGTTTCCTAGTTACTGGCTTTAATGGGAATGTCTCCACTATTACATCTGCTGCCACCTTAGGCCTAGATGTTGCCAGAACTTCTTCACCATTCTTCTTTGCTTCCATAGGTTCAACTGGTTGCGGCTCTGTACATGTTTGTACCTGCCTTTCTTTCACTTTCATATCTACCTCGCTGCCATTGATTTGTCCACTTCCAAAACTCTGATATTCAGGCTCAGTACAATGCTCATTAGAAACTATAGATTCAACAGCAACATGCTTCTCTATTTCCACTGGTCCATTTACTTCTAAATCTGTACTTTTCAGTTCATTAAATTCTCTGTCATTCACTTCTACTTGAGTACCGTTGATGATTCGCCCATTCTCAAACATCTGACGTTCAGGTCTAACTAAATGCCCATCAGAAGCGAAAACCAGTTCTTCAATTGCACCCTGATTTTGATTGGTGATGAACTGTGATTCATTTGATGACATTGACAAAGAATTTTGTGGTTCTGCAGCAATGGTTCCCAATGGATTGAGTTCCCAGAACTGATCAACAGTCTGCTCCTCTACAGTAAACTTAGCAGGACCAAGCACTCTATTCTCCTGGATTATATCTCGGACAATTTCTCGTACTGTGTAGAAAGATCCACCAACTTCTTTGTGGGTCAGATTAAGTGATGGGAAACTCCCATTGTTTAGTTTCTGGTACCTGTAAGCAAGACCATTAGACAGGCTGCACATTCTTTTCAGAAATCAGAAATTCAAAAATATTAAGATGGATGTGGAAGTCAGTGGCAAGAAAATACACAATAACACTACAATATACCGATCAAAATACTCCCATCAACTTCTAACAGGAACAGTTCTCCTACTGCATATACCAATCAAAAGTTGGTCCTACTAAACACAGGTGCTACACAACCATATGTTTTATTAGTTTCCTTACTATTATTTTCTTCGGTTAAATGGACTGTAAAGAACACAAACATAAAATTTTCTTAAAAGAGTGCTTCGCCCATGAGCGGTAGGTCTCGGGTTCGAGACTTGGGAGCAGCCTCTCCATAAATGGGGGTAAGGCTAGCCGACATTCACCTCTCCCAGACCCTGCGTAAAGCGGGAGCCTTGTGCACTGGGTACGACCTTTTTAGTGCTTCAACAAAATAAATTTTCTAAATCATTCTGGTGAACAAATATATATATATATATATATATATATATATATATATATATATATCAAAGCATCATACGTCAATCAATTTGGCAGGCACTAAATCGCAAGAAAGCATTAAATTTCAAAAGTTGGTCAAAATCTCAAAGTGAATATAATGGCTATATATATTGTATATCCACTTCTGTATTCACAATAGTTACATAAACTCAACAGATAAATGACTAAAATCATAGCTTAAATAAGATTTGACAAGCTTATCCGGAAGCTAGAAACAGGGATCCAGAAACTGTCCATACCTTAAAACTTAAAAGCATACAGATGTACTAGGATCCTACTCAACTACAATATCAAGAGTACAAGGAAACAATCATGATGGACGAGAAGTAATGCTGGATCAACAAATTTCAAAATAAGATATTTCATACAAGCATATAGAATTCATTTATATAAAATTATCCTGAGTAAAGGGTAGGAGAAGATTAGTGCCCGTAATCCTAGTAGATTTCATCAGAACTATATTGGTTACAGGATTAGTGACTTCTCTTTTCTTTTTCACATAAGTTACGATGGTAGAAAATTTGAAACAAAGAAACTATGATGTGATTACTTCTTTATAAAGGATTCAACCATTGCCTTCCTCTCTTCCTTTGAACGCCGAATTCTGGACCTCCTTCCTTCAGATTCATTGTTTTTAGCAAGGGCAAATGTCTGCCCAACCCAACTACCCTTTACAGAATGCATTACACTGAAATTCAAACCTGCACATGTGCAATCTTTGTGAGATAAAGAAAAGTTGCATGTAAAAAATCCTCATGAGAAAACAGACACAAACAATCTAAGACTTGACGTTGAAAAAATTGATATGCAAAAATCATATTTATCTTTTTGGATATTTGGATGATGTCTAAGTAATTAGTATTAGCGAGTAATAACTGAAACAAAAGAAAATGTGAAAAGAAAAGAAACAATGTGATATAAAACAAAACAGATCAAGTAATAAGGAAAGGCCAGTGAAGCCAATTCTGAACATTAACACAGAAACCGTCATGAGTCACATTAGTGAAGAATGGAAGCTCAACTGAGTCATGAGATGAAAGAAAAAAATACATAAAAATTTATACCACCTTTATCTTATTTGATACAGCTTATAGGGAGAAAAAGAGAAAAAGCGATGGCAAAATTTCATTTGCACATGAACCAAAAAAAAAAAAGTGAGCACAATGACACCAGAAACTGACCCAACACTCCTGGGAATCATGATTCGTTTGCAATTTTCAAATGGTATGAAAATATTGGTATTCAAAACAAGATCTTAACTACAGAAGTGTAAGTTCATCTCCTCAAGGGTTATAAACTCTGTTTATCATAATTTTGAATTATCTTTCTGGGTTTCAAAAATTGAATATTTACAAATTTCTGTCATTTCATCTGAAATTCAGCAAAATAGACAGTCACCAAAGCGAAAATTAAAAAGAATCCAAACGAATCTTTTCTTCGATCAACCGAAAGATTATACGGTCAGCTTTGAGTAACTAAGTGAAGAAATTGAGTGGAAAAACATACACTATAACGGGTGTTGTGGGTGTTTGTATATATGTGTACAAAAGAGTCACGATTTGAGGAGGAAAAATCAACAGACAGTGACAGAAACAAAATCCAAGAGCAACCCACATGGGAAAACTTCTATATCAACAAAACCCAACAAATCAAAACATGGATTTTACGCAACTCAAGAATTTGCGGCTGCCATGCCACTAATTATGCATAAATTCCAACAAATAGATTACAAAAAAGAAAAAAAATCTGGAAATTACAGTCACAGTAAAGCATAAATAATGGGGAGAATGAAGAGCAGAGAGAGAGAAAGAGAATCACCTGAAGCGATGGGGAAGGATTAGGTTTTGGGGTTTTTCCAAAACCCTACTACTACTTACAGAGTGAGAGATGACAGAGAGCGAGAGAGATAAAAGAAGAAGCCAAAAGTCAAAATATATACACACACATATATATTTCTTATGTAATCTTATATATAAAGCCAATGAAAAAGGTAAATAGTGATTTTAGTGTCACAAAACTACAATAAAAATATTTAGACAAAAATATTCTCAAAACAAAAAAACTTCAAAGACATCCCAAAATAATGCATCAAATATTTCTCAAAAAATAATAATAATAATAATGCATCAAATAAAGTAGGGGCATTTTCATCATTTTAACAATATTTTTTTAATAATTAATTTTTTTTGTGGTTTGTTTGTTTGTTTTTTTTTTTTAATAAGTACCGCACAATAGGTTAGCAATAATGTGATTCAACTTCTCTATTTTTAAGCATGTTCAAAACATTTTAAGAGGCGTGTAAAGCCAGTTATAAAAAAAGGTATTTCGCACGCTGATAACAATGTGATTAAATTACATTAAATTAGTTGTCAAATGATTTTTTTTTAAACAAACGATATTATCTACACTAAGGGGAATGTGGTAGGCTTAGCCTCACAATTGTTTATTAAATATTATTTTCTCTATTTTTAAACACGTTCAAAACATCTTAAGAGGCGTGTAATGCCAATTATAAAAAAAAAATTCACACGCGGATAATAATGTGATTAAATTAGTTGTCAAATGATCGTTTTAGCCCTCTGGCCCTCCAAGAAATTAATATTTTAATGAATAGTGCAAGGCCATATTTCTTACCATCTCCAATCGAGGGCCAAAGGTCATAAGGTCAAACATAGCCCTGTCACAAAAAAAATCATCTCCAACCAAGGGCCAAACATAATTTATTTTTTAAATTTAAAAACTATAACAACTTAAATTTAAAAATTACAGCTTAAATTTAAAAACTACAAATAAAAATTTTTTAATATTTTTTTTTAATTTGGCCGAAAAGAAAAATTCAAATCCAACGATAACTGACGTCAGCTAGCCGTTGGATTTGAATTTTATTGGGCTATAAATAGGGTGGATATTGGGCTATAATTCACACACCTTTGAATTCAATCTCTTTCAATTCAAGTTTGCAATGAATTCCAACTTTGGATCCTCTTCGGATTTCAACTAGGGGTCCTCATCCAATTCCAAATTGGAAGAAAAATAGGCGCAGATGAGACGAGAAGATGAGGAGTTTGATGAAGAAGATGAAGCATGGCGCAACACACAATATGTGGCAGATATGGCTGTGTCCGTGGTGTGTCAGCCAACTAAGGAACAACCTCAATGGGGTGGCTTTGTTGCTAGTCACTTTTACAAACCACGAAACAGAGCGATGGCGCATGCCAATCTGATGAACAACTACTTCAACCCTAACTTGGTTTACACAGAAGAGGATTTCAAACGTCGTTTCCGGATGAGGCGTCATGTGTTCAAGCGTTTACTTCATGATGTCCAGCAAATCAATCCATACTTTCAACAGAAGCTGGACAAAGCAGGCCACCCTGGTTTCTCACCTCATCAAAAGGTTACTATTGCACTTTGAATGATGGCCTATGCCTCCTAGTTGATGCGATGGATGATCTATACGGTATGTCTGAGTTTAATTACATGCCTTGATACTCTTGCTGAATTCTGTGACACAATTGTTCATTTTTACAAAGAGAAGTACCTCCGTGAGCCAAATCAAGAAGATCTGGATTAGCTCATTCGCAAAGCTGAAGATCGTGGCTTTCCAGGCATGATAGGGTCATTAGACTGCATGCATTGGAATTGGAAGAACTGTCCCACCGGATGGCAATGTGGCTTTAGCGAAAGGTCGAGAAAGCCAACTATTATGTTAGATGCGGTTGCCTTATCTGACACATGGATCTGGCATGCTTTATTTGGAGTCCTTGGATCCCAAAATGACATTACAGTTCTTGGGCGTTCACATCTCTTCAATAACCTGACGGAAGGTAAATCATCTCAACTTGACTACTACATCAACGGTCGTCAATATAATATGAGGTATTACTTGGCAGATATCATCTACCCAAAGTGGGCGACACTTGTCCAAGCAATTCCAAACCCTGCAAATGAAGCCAAAAAGTGTTTTACCTTACACCAAGAGGCATACCGGAAAGATGTTGAGAGAGCTCTCGATATTCTACAAGCACGGTGGAAAATTATCAAGGAACCGACAAAAGGGTGGAGTCAAGAAAATTTGGACTCTATCATTGCATCATATTACACAACATGATTGTGTAGGATGAGCAAGATGGGTATATTGATGGATAGTCGATTACAACCAAGAGGATCCAAATAGTCATGAAGGGCTCGTGCAAAAATAAATGATGGGCCTAATTTGCCTTTCAATCCAAGAACTGACAATATCTTTTTAAATGAGTACATGAGGCGTTATAGGATGATACGCTCATGTGCCACAAACAAGTACCCACAACTAGATCTTGTTGCACATTTTTGGGCCAAAAGAAGATTGGAGTAGGCGTTCAAGTTTTATGTTGTTGAATGTTTTTAAAATTGTTGTTTAAGTTTCATGTTGTTAAATGTTTTTTTTTATGTTGTATAATTTTTATGTTGTTTAATGTTATTTAATGTTGTTTAATATTGTTTAATGTTGTTTGATGTTACTTAATGTTATTTAATGTTGTTTAATATAGGAAGCTATAGGAAAAAAAAACATAGAATTTAAAAAAAAAATTTGTAAAAAATATTTCAAAAATTTTTAAAAAAAATTCAAAAATAACGACTAACTGACGTTAGCTAGTTACCTTTGCATTCAAATTATAGCCCAGCCGGTTGGCCCTTTGGCCCTTTTTGGTCTAGTGGGGCCCACGAGCCCTTTGGCCGGTTGGAGATGGCCTCAGGCTTTGAGAGGCCGGGCGGCGCAGGTGTGTAATTATTTAAGTTGGAACTTGGAAGGGGTGGTAATTGGAAAATTCATAAATACTCAATCCGGGTCACATCAGACTGTCTTTCTATAAAGGGCAATTGGAACCTATGATTGTAAATTTGATTTAGGTTAATTGAGACGCAACAAAACGTAAAAGGTAAAGTGAAATTTTGTGTAAAATACAATGAGTATACTTAAAATTAAGCGTTAGAAGAACATAAAAGTATATTAATGGAGTGCCTACAAAACCTTAGTTGCAGTTTATCAACCCCCATTGGGATGAGAGATCTCCTTTCAACCGATGGATGAATACATGAAAAATGACGATCATCTATATCATCAATAATGTCACTGAGACAATATATTGATTGTAAAAGAGTTTCTCTAGAACCAAAGGACTTTTCAATGCAAACATGATACGATTATTACACTTGTAACCAAGATAACATGCATATACATAGCACTCTCCTAATTGAACAATAAAATCGATGGTTGATTCAATGTCTAAAAATTCAAAACAAGAAACTGCCAACAACTGCTTCATTCTGATCAAAACTTCCTATCAACATTACCAAAAGAATACATGATGTTGTCAACTGTGAAAAAGAATTTCAACGAATGTCGTGTGTACTGCTAAGAAACTTAATATCCTTGTGCGACTTGAAATGCGAAGGTTAACGCCTCACATACTAAGTGACCTGCGATCGCTGAAAAAGCTACCATCTTCCATCCACCTTGAGTATCTATATTCCGTCACAGGAAAAATACCTACAAAATTCATCTTTACAGACCACGCTGTCGATGTTAGAAAGAACAAAGCTCGTCCTCAATCTTTGAGAGTTTTTTTTCCCACTCCACAGTTGAGAAATAGCTGTATCGCAATTCAAGTGTGACGAAAACTAGACAATTTCAACTAAAACTATAACCTTTATATCCTCCAAGTGTCTTTTGTTTGTATCCATGCCTCATTCTTTCGAGTAATTTTTCTTTTATTTTCCTTTTCTTGTCCATCTTTAGCCTATATCTCTCTTCCATCTCCTCTTCATAAATTCATTCCCAATGCACTTCCCCGGTGAGTGGCCACAGCCACATCTCCCTTGGATGATCACCGTCATCTGCAGCTTCTGCTAAATCCTCATCCATACTCTTTAGCAATGTACTATCAAAATACTTGGCCCACATAAATCCTTTCCGTAGCTCAACTGGGTGCTGCTCTTCCAGTGAACCAGACACTGGATCTATTAAAACCATCTTTCGTCCACTATGATAAGCCCAGACATTAACAAAGACTTCTAATACCCGATAGTAACAATGCTTTCTCTGTTGACATTGTTAAAAATGTAAGTGATGAATGTTAAACTCCAAATGAGACCAGAAAACGTGATCCAAATAACGTACCTCAAGTTCTGAGGAACCCAACAGACACATATTTATATTGCCAGAATTGGTGTGCAATGCATCCAAAGAATCAACAAATATCATGTAGCTCAAATACAAAATTTCAGTTATAATAACCATCCACAAGTTCATTTTCTATCAGAAGCTGTAACAGAATAAAACAGAAATCGTAGTGATTAGATTACCTAGAAAACATGATAAACTCAAGGAATGAGCGAGTTGGCATCACCCAACTATGCAAGGCAGATCAGTGACCACCATCTTATGGCACGGGAAGGAGAGCTTCTGTATTAGATGGCAAGGTATACATCCAGTGAAATGCATCTTCAAAAACATTTCTGCATTCGAGTGGACAAAAATTATACTTTTATCTTGATGTATTAATGAACTAATAACTATAAGACAAACACAGACCCAATGGCATTTGTATTACGGATATAAGAAACCTTAAGTGCCTTATAAATCTGTGTGAAGATCTATATGAATCCACGTTTTGCGGATGTAGCCATGTAAGTGTGTGGTTGTGTTCAGTATACCAAAATTTTATTGCATATAGTAACGCAACTGGAATCGTTCTTCTGTGGATTTGGTTCTAAGTGTACCATTGGCATTGGATGACAACAAGGAACCTCATGTTCTCATAATACCAGCCATAACAATATCCATTGTTTAAAAGGACAAATTCTTCTATTGGACAGCCCTATGCACCCACTGTCCCACCCATTGTGAGAGACTGGCTGCATACGACTGCCTCACCAAAAAAATCCTCTTTATGTGGAGCATGGCATCACATATTAGATTTCCAAACCTTTGACAACAATCACAGCTATAACTTAATAACCAAATTTTCAACTAATATTTCGTACAAGTATCAACAATGTCCCTCATTCAAGATGTCACATACGGACCAAAATGTGAGTGCATCTTCATTTCCTGTCACCCCACCATTAATGTTCAAGCATCCCCAAAAGTATATTACTTTACCTTTTGTGTTGTCTTGTATTGCTTCTTCCAAAACTCCTTCAGCTTTCTTGGACAAAGTCACCTGCTTGAAAAACAATGATGAATATGATGGCAAACTAAAGAACAGTACATGCTTGCATGCATTTATGAAGTGTTTGATTGATTGAACTAGGACTGGATTGGGTTATTTAACACCAATCTCAGTCTAGACCAAACATGGGGTTAATTAACAACTGCATAAGCGGGACCTCTCTGCGGGGCTTATTTTGGGCCATTTAAAATGAAGGCCTAAATATAACCAACCAAACCCGAGCCAAACCAATCCAAGCCAATCCAATCCAAGCCAATCCCTACAATTAGTCCAAGCCAAGCCAAGCCAATGCTATGTATCAAAACGTGCTCTAAAGACTATATTTATATACACACACGTGTACGAAAATACATACATCAATCATTATATACAAGTTTAAATACTTGTAGCATATATGTTTCCATGTAACTATACTTTTGTTCTATTTTCTATGACACCAAAACCATTCCAAGGAATCCAGAGTTTTGTGTATCTATATAGGTTATGTATGTCTATAGGCAATTACAAACGTCATCCTTACAAAATATTAGACAAGTTACGAAGCTATTTATAATCCTGATTATTCTTTGTTTCTTCAGAATCTTGTGTTCATCTGTTTGCTTGGATAACAAGTCTGGCAATTAGATGACTAAATAGTTTTACACTTTTGTTGATTTTTTTACAGTTTAGACCACTGGCCACATTGCATTGTGGAACTTAATGACATTAGACAAATGCTTCTGAATAATTTCCAACCAAAAATAAGAAATACCTTCCTACCAGTTGCACGCCAAGTTTGAAACCCAATCCAAGGTCGCTGATGAACTCTGTCAACCTTGTTTGCAATAGCAAACATTCCACCAATCTCACCAAGAATGTTGCGATAGTAAGTTTCATTCAACGGGAAACCGGTCAACAGAATCGACATCATTTGATGTTAACCTCCGTGCTCCTTTTGACTATCACATACATTGTAGGATAAGTTAAAAAACATAAGAAAGAACTGGAGATTTTGAAAAGAAAAAAAAAACAAAAAACAAAATTTCTAGCTTTTAATGAAATGAAAGCATACAGTAAAGGCAAGAAACTCACGAGGCTCAATCCACGGTACAGAGTGCCGTGGTGCAAGAATGGCCAGGTTCTAAACCCACTGTATATCTCATAAATGCATATTGTCTAGCCTATCCTCTCAAATTCACCCTCATCCCTATCATTTGCCTCAAATCTAAGCTTTTCAGCTTTTCGGGCCTTACGATATATGCATCCCAAAAACCAGGATCTTTCTCCATTCTTTCTGATAGCTACAAGCAAGAAGAATGTCCTGTTTCAGCTGTCTTTTGAGAACTACCTCACTAAGATAAAAAGGGGGGAAAGAAGAGGCAGGACTGAACTAGAGACACACAAGTTCTGTAATTTCAGGAAATGACATACCTCCTCCATTTCTAACGTCTCATATACTTCAGAGCTTTCAAATTCCTTCAAGATATCCCAATCTAATTGAGTTGGAATATCTAATGATGAATCCCAAGTTATATTATCAGAGATTTTTGGTGAGTAACCAAAACCCAACAAGTCTTCTTCTAGGGCATTAACGATACAAGTGTTATTCCAGGATGACTGCTCGTCAATGTTCAGAATATTTCCTCTTCTATAATCTATTTCATTCCCAAACAAATTTCATTCCCATGTACCCTGTTGAAGCTGAGAGATTGGCCCCTAGCAGCAGAGCATCTGATGGAAAATTTAACACATTCTCCATAAGCCTTGCATAACCAGTGATACATTCTGATGCCAACAAGTTCATAACAAGCAGTCTTCCAGAAGAAGCAACCGTTCAAGCAAATTTTGAAAGTTTCTCATTTGAAATCATAAGCGAGAAGCGTTCATTAAAGCATCAGGATTATGCTTTCGGAACAATATCATGTGAACTCCATCAACCACCTGTAATATCACAAATGTAAAAGACAATAAAAGACAACTTGACATGATAAGAAAATTACTAAAAACAAAGAATTTGAATGAACTCACATATTCCTTCAAGATACAAAATCAGGCACAATAACTGGGATCCCAAAGGTCATGGCACGAATAAGCAATGGCGGAAAAACATCTTGTGTAGAACCGTAAAGAACAATGTCAGCCATTAATAACACACTGTTGACATCACCATTCAAGCCATAATGTCGCACAGATCCTTGAAGAAGTCCCAGATGTGAAGCAGCTTCCTAAACAACAGATCAATGGATCAAAATGGATCATACATAGTCTTATGAATAAATGCCAGTGAATGAGTAAAACAAGTCAAAAGAATAACCAGATATCACAACGAAATACAAAAATGACGTCAGTTTCAGTCATTGTTGTCATTCTGTCAACAATCAGATTCATATCACAATTTTTTTTTTCAGTTGCCACTGGCCACAAAAATCACTTTTTGGAAAAATTAAGGCATTTGAATACATTTAGATAAGATGCAAGAAGCTCAAATATGTCATAAGTACTGGGACAACATCATAATTGATTAAGGATAATAAACTAGAAAGCATTAGCATATCCATCAGAGGAATTACCACATAAGAAAACAAATTTGAACAACCTTCCTGCATCATCCCTCCTTGAATATTTTATTAGCAGTGGTCCTATAGAATGCATCGCCACATCATAGTCCCATGAAAGCTCATCGTAGAAAAAAGAACTTCCAACAACTACAACCAGCATATCACCTTCACTAAACTCATTGCTCTTCATCAACTGATTCTTGGAGTAGGTTTTTCTGTAACTTTCCATAACCCAAACTTCTATTGGTGATCCAGGAATGACAAAGAAGTTTCCAGTGTCAAGTACACTATACAACATCTGACACATGATGGAAAGAAAAAATAAGACAATTTAAGAAACCACATAATGATTATTTTGCAAGATAACTAGAAATACGGTGTAACCAAATATTTCAAGAACAAAAGAAGGCAAGATCTATCGGCATACTAAAATCTGGAAACACGATAATGTTAACTCTGCTAAAAGCACTTTTCCAATGAGAAATAAGATGTTTCAGGTGTATTTTCTTGAATTATCCATATCAGTGGTACTGAACAAAAAGGCTCATGCATAAGGCTGCATGAATCTAAATCTCACTAATCATAGCAAGTCCAACTGAATCTAAATCTCACTAATCTAAATCTCACTAAGTAAAAGTACTAGTGAGTACGCTTTTACCTTTCATATGCTTAACTAGGGTAAGCTGCTGTTATAAAAGGAAAAAGAATGAGAAAAGAGACGGCGGAAAATTCTATACGAGAAAATTTATATTGTCTCCGAAAAAAAAAAACTAAAAGATAGACAAAAAGTGAATATTAGTTAGTGGAGTAAACCATAGCTTAAGTTTATAAAAATAAATAAACAATAGGTGACTTAATTTTACTGCCCAAGGTGTACAAGGTGGCCCAGCCACAAAGTAAAAAATCAAAACAGATGAACGCAAAGGCCTATGCAGTTAACAAAACACGCACATGTTGATGAACGAACCCAGTTGGCTGCAACAGCCACCATGAAAGCAGGCCAACTACCTTCAAAGTCACCAAAACCACCACCAGAATCACAAATAAGTTGAAAATTTAAACCACGTAGAGAAAAGCATATCATCAAGCCACCACAACCAACAACATACATTCCTCTCAAGTCCCTAACCTTTATAATAAACAGTACTTCAAATCTGATCCAAGATTCGCCTCCGAAGACTACCAGAACGAAGCTTTGATTCTGAAAATTCCACCACCAACAAAACGATTGTGGTGGAAGGAGGCAGTACAATGACCCAAATTGAGATTGTTAAGGCATGATCCTCTTCGACCTTTGAAACAATATGGACCTGAGAATAGACAACTAGGGCAAGAGGCCAATAAATCAGCCCAATAAAACTAAAGGAAGCAATTTCGAGGGCTATAAGTGATCGCTTAATGGTCTAGCTCTAGGTCGAAAATCTTATCATAAAGTACTTTCCGACCATTTGACCCAAGTCGATAAACTAAATGCGGTGTATTCAATTGAGACCTAGAAATAGGCCTACTTGGAACTCTAAGTAATGTGTTGACGATTTGCAAGAGCAGAAGCCTATGAAGTGATAAAGGTTGTTAGACCAAGCTCGGGTATAGGTTTCCTTAAACCCCAAGCCCGAGCAAGAGGCTCAATACGTATTGGCCCAGGAAAACTGTTACACCCACCCCTAATTTAAATTGTATTTTCACTAAGTTTGAGATTATCTTGCTTTTAAAATTGTTTTGGTCTTAAATGGTGTGCCCAAGGGGCCCACCCTTGAAATTTTGTCCCCGGTCCCCTCTCCTTAGATGCCACGTGGCATTCTTCTCACTCTCTCTGCTCTCATTCTCCCCGAGTTCCCTCTCAGTTTCATTTCTATCTCTCTCCCTCTCGGTGCTATTCTCTTCGACAAGAGCACACACACACACACCCATACATATATACACACAACCATCACGAGGACTTCACCATCATCTTCATCCTCTAAGCTTCATCTTTTTCTCCCTCACTTTCTCTCTTTCTTCTTCTCCTTCACTATGCCACACCTATAACCCATATCCTAAAATCATCATCAAATCACAATTTCGAAATCACCATCATCTTTATCTCGTCACTACAAACTCAACCATAGTCTTGTCATCTTAGAAGTCGAACCATGAAGCCCCGTACACGAGCTCCGACGCAGACCGCTGCTTTCGAGGTAATTTCAGGCTAAAACATGGCAAGTTGGCTGGTGTCAAGGTATCCATCTCTTCATCTCACTGAGTACTACAACTTTCCTTTTTGTTTCACCAAATTTCGTTGAGTATTGAAGAAGTTATACTCATTTGAATCTAACCCAGTTTCTGGCGACCTCCGAGGGTTTCGAGGCATTTTCCGGTCAAACCATAGTGAGTTAAATGTGGTGTGAGGTACCATTATTTTCGTCTCTTCGAGAACTATGATTTTTGTTTTTAAATCACTCGATTTCATTGGGTATTGACAAAGTTATGGCCGTTTAAAGTTGGTGTAGCTTTCCGGCCAAAATCCGGCCTTCTCCTTCCTTTGAATCCAGCAACCTAGAAATCCCAAGGCCTTTGGGCCTTTCCTGACAAGCCCAACCCAAAACCCATTTCAGTTTTTATTATTTATTTTATTTATTGTTTTAATGTAAAAGGCCCTTGGGCCATTTTAAATCAGGGCCTTCGGCCCGTCCTTTTTAAAACCTCAACCCATTTATTTTAAAGCTTAACCCATTTTCCCTTAAACCCATTTCTTTTTAAAAACCCAAAGGGCCTTAGGCCTGTGCATCCTAAGCCAACCCTTTAAACCCCATTACCCTTAACCCTAACCTGTTGAAACCCTTTATAGGGAATATTCCGTCAGGGAATATTCTAGGAATATTCTATTGACATTTATGTGCTTAGGAGCAATATTTGTGACGTTCGTTTTCCCAAATTCAATTGTTATAATAGAGTTTTATTAATTGGACCATTTATGTGCTTAGGAGCAATATTTGTGACGTTTCCGTGGTTGCTAGTTTGCGTGGCTCTTCGGCGGCTAAGTATCTGTGAATGGACCCCTCCTAAAAATGCATGTTTTGATAGTAGAAATGCATACATGAAAAGCATGATTTAATGATTATGTTCTATGAAACGCTTTGAGATAACATGCTTACTGAGGCTAGTTTGAATTATTACTATTTTTCCTATAACCCGTGTTCTTATAGAATATCCGGGATGACGATATGATATTTAGAACATGTTTCGAACACCTCTTTATAGTATAAATGATAGATGACTTTATACTATGAAGTTGCTTTTCAAAATATATATGTTCAATGGTTTTGTACTTACCTAGTGGTCCTTTCCGCTACAGGACATATGGATAGATTCCGGTCCGTCCCAGACAACGGTTTGGTGTTGGCATAGGGCCTGAAGTGTGTTTCCTCTGGCTATTTAGCACAGGGACGGGGAACCGGCATGGGGCCTGAAGTGTATTTTCCTCTGACTGTCTGCTCAGGGACGGGGAGCCGGCATGGGGCCTAGGGGTTATTGGACATTCAATAGTGATTATTATATATACAAGTTATGATTTGAGACATTGCACGGCATGCTAGGTTTTGGAAAACCTATGTTTATCATGATATATATGTGTTTTCATAAAACCTAGGGGTTAGTATGTGGATAACTGTTTTATTATATCTATATCAACTTGGTCCACTCATGTTTGTTTTGCGCCCCCTTCAGGACTTAGAATCGAGGCAAACAATCCTGACGTCCAGGCACTTCCGCATCGACATCTTCGAATCATCTCGGTGTAGGATCCATTACTTTATTCATTCAATTTTTATATTATTTATTTTAGTGTTCTAGTTAGTTGAATGCTTTGAACACGTTCCTTAAATGCACATTCTTTATTCTTTTATATTTATAAGTATTAGTTATCCCTTGTTTTCAGCATTTGCACTCAATAAATGGCTTTCGTCACCCTCAAGTGTCGGTCAGCGCGTGTTTATCCTGGTATTTAGGGAATATCGGGATCGAGTCGTGTCAAAAACATCAATCAACTCTAAACAAATGTCACTTCATCTCCACATGTCGAACGAATAACGAAGCGTTAATAGAGATGATGATCTCGATTCTGCACACCTTTCCGTACATAAGTGAAAAGTTGATTTTGAAATGGACGTCATTTACATGAACCAAATTTGATATCCAAAATGAAGGAGAGATTATTGAGTGTTGTAGGATAAGTTGTGGGCAAGAACGAAAGAGGGAAAGGGAAGGAGATGAGAGGGTGAGTAAAAAATTAGGGCTCTGATTTTGGGTAAACTATAGAAAATTAGAAGAACAAAAAGAAAAGCAAGTAGAAAAGAAGACAATATTTGCAATATATTGAAAAACAAGTTGAAATCGCCACTGGTTCGATTGCCACTAGTTAGACCTACCAATCGGGTTGGAATCGAGTCTAATCTAGAGACTAGCATCTGGGTCGTTGGACCAGTTATGGGTTCGGTTAGCTAGAGTAGGTTTGGCGCATGGGCGTAGATTTAAGTTGGTCATCTAGGACTACAAGTTAACCTGAGAAGAAAGATCGTTGGACCAGAGGCTGTGAGAAGAGAAAGACAACAATCGTAGTCGATCAAGCATGTAATGCTGCTGAAAGAATGAAGCTTCTTCTCTCATTCAGAGACTCGTAAGGAGTTTGAGCACATAAATTCAGGTAAGTTTATAAATGTTTGTGTTTTGGTTGTACTATCCACTTTGAACACATAATTCTTCCTCGTTGCAATTATAGGCTTTGTAGCTAATTGTTTTTGCAACTCATTCTTAGTCGAGTACCCAACCAGTCACATTTATTTTTTTCTAGTAGTAAATAACGGATTACGAGACTTTCTTAAAACTAAAAACTAGAGGTTTAGGGTTCGAAACTCGATGTTGGTTTGAAAGCCAGACTTATGGCCAAGAGAGGCTGAAATACCTCTGTGAGTTTTTCCATCCCCCAAAAAGGGTGGATCGTGACTTACTACCAGTTGTCATTTTTTTTTTAAAAGAAGGAAGCCATATTTTAAGGTAATTTAAAGATTGTGCTTAAAGGGTATATTAATATTTTTATATCAAATTTTGGTTATAATTATCATAAAATTAAAATAGTGGCTTTAATTGGATCCAAAACTGATTACTTTTTTAAATTTCCCGAGTTGTGGAGGGTAATTAGGGTGTTTTAGAACTTTTGTATAAATTTTTGGTTAAATTTGTAAGAATAGCAAAAGGTTGTTGTAAATAGTGGGATTGTATGCCCATATGCGAATAGTAATGAATAAGGCATAATTTGTTGTGCTATGTCACGGGAAGTTGTTTTCATTCATTGTAAACCTTCTATAAATAGTTCACCACATAGGTGATCGAGACACTACAAGAGAAAAACAACTAATAATAATATTCCTCACTTCCTCTGCAATCATTTTGTGTTGGTATAATATTTTGCAATTGCTTCGCTCCTGTCCCTAGCAAATGTTATCTCTCTAACTTTTGCTTATTTATAACACGTTATCAGCAAGACTCTCTAACAATTTCTCATTTCCCTTCACCGAAAGAAAAAAAAAAGTTTCCTCTAAGGATTTTACTGTTCTTCTTCTTCCTCTGCCTCAACTGCTGGATATACCCTAGCAAAGAACTGTTTACACCATGCCTGCTTTTAGTTCTTAACATAACAATTACTTATATCTTTGATTTCTTGTTTGGTGTAGCTCTTGACTACTAACCCAGTGTTTATTTATGCAATCCAAGATGGTGCGGTATCATCGCCTATCTTGAATTGCATGTCTAATTTTACTGCAAATTTTAGGTGGAGCAGTATAATTGCTCACCCTACCCTGCTTATTTAAATTTGCCTGCTATTTAATTTTATTACAATTTTTGGTGGTGTGAAATAATCACCCACCCTACTCTGTATATTTAATTTTTCTGATGCTTGAGTGCTGCGGAATAATCGCTCATCCTATGTTATTTCAATGAGAATGGTGCGGTACAATTACCTTTCTCATTTATCATGTAAATCTCGAGCCTGAAGTTTCGAGAGCTTATCATTTTAGCCTGAAGATCAAAATGAAAAATTTGTAAGGACCAGAAGTTCTAACAATATATTCCTTCAGAATACATATTATTGCAAGTTCTTACACGCCTCATTTTTCTTTCAGAAATGAAAATGGCGAACTTGGCACAACTTGATTTTTTTGCCCTGGATATTACTGGAAAGAACTACCTTACCTGGGTAATGGATACCAAAATTCATCTGGAGGCAGGAAATCTTAGGGAAACCATTAATGAGGATAACAGTGCATCCTCTCAAGATTGGGTGAAGGCCATGATCTTTATTCATCGCCACCTGGATGAGGGATTGAAGAGCGAGTACCTCACAATTGAAGATCCATTAACCCTCTGGAAGGCACTAAAAAATAGATATAATCACTAGAAAATAGCGATTCTTCCAAGAGCTCGTTATGAGTGGGCTCACCTAAGAATCCAAGATTTCAAGACGGTGGCTAAATACAATTCTGCAATGTTCAGAATTAGTTCCCAGTTGAAGCTATGTGGAGAAACAATAACTGAGGAAGATATGCTGGAAAAGACTTTCAGCACATTTCATGCATCCAACGTGCTCCTGCAGCAGCAGTATAGAGAAAGAGGCTTTACTGAGTACAACCAGCTGATATCTGTACTTCTTGTAGCCGAGCAAAACAATGAGCTTCTGATGAAGAATCATTAGTCCCGACATACTAGATCAGCACCATTTCTAGAAGTGAATGCTACTTCCCTTGAAGGAAATACCACATCCTCCTTTGTAATTATTACAAACGAGGAAATGGCCACAAGCGAGGCCGGTGGAATGGGAAATGCAAGAACCATGGCGTTCAATTTCACAACCAGGTTCCAATTTATAATCCATACCTGAGCTTTAAGAATGCAAATCACCAGAAAGGCAAAGCTCATATGAACATTCCTAGAAATCCTGAATGAGTTTGCCATAGGTGTAGTGACAATGGGCACCGGATGCGTACCTGTCGTACCCCAAACATCTGGTGGATTTGTATCAAACCTTCCTCAAGGAGAAGGGTGTCGAGACCAATTTCCTCGACCAGGCTCAACCAATGGAAATATCTGATCCAGTGTCCAATTTATCAGGACAGTTGAACACAACCCACTTGGATGTTTCAGACTTTATTATTGAAATAGGGAATGAAGTTTATGGGTCCGATTGGATCATTTATGTTTAATGTACTCTTGTTATTTGTACTTGTGGTTTAATGCTTGTATTTTCAATTCAATAAAAGTAGTATTCCGGTATGAATAAACTGCTTTTTAAGAACATGGATAAAAATTATGGTTATTCTCAAAACAAGAGCAATGGCGAGGACTTTTGTCTTGTAGACAGCGCAACCACGCATTCAATACTTCGAGATCGAAAGTATTTCTCGAACTTGGTACTTGCAAAAGTAAAGGTAACAACAATATCAGAACAATCAGATGTAATTAATGGCTCAGGAAAAGCCCAGATTATGTTACCAAATGGAACAATATTGTCCATACAAAATGCGTTGTACGCCACTAGGTCTACTCGAAATTTGTTGAGCTTTAAAGACATACGTCTAAATGGATACCACATTGAAATGAAAAGTGCAGAAAATGTGGAATATTTATGCATTACCTCCAATGATACCCAGAAGCGTATATTGGAGAAGTTACGTAGTTTATCGAGTGTATTGTATTATACATACATAAAGACAATTGAGGCATATACTATCATGAACCAGAAGTTCATTGATTCAAAAGTTTACATGCTTTGGCATGACCGTTTGGGTCATCCAGGATCTACCATGATGCGTAGAATCATTACCAACTATAATGGACATCCATTATTGAGCAGACACATTGATGTCTCAAATGATAACCCTTGCAAGGCTTGTTCCTAAGAGAAGTTGGTAATTAGACCATCACAACAAAAGGTTGATGCTAAATCCCCATCATTTTTGCAAAGAATTCAAGGGGACATATGTGGGCCTATTCAACCACCTTGTGGACCATTTCGATATTTTATGGTTTTGGTTGATGCATTTACCCGATGGTCACATGTTTGCCTATTGTCTACTCGAAATGTAGCTTTTGCGAGGCTTCTTGCTCAAATAATTAAGTTGCGAGCACAATTCCCAGATCACCCTCATTAAGTCAATCCGACTTGATAACGCTGGTGAATTTACGTCTCAAACCTTTGATGTTTACTGCATGACACTGGGCATTGATGTTGAACATCATGTTCCTCATGTCCATACTCAAAATGGTTTAGCGAAGGCATTTATCAAGCGGCTTTAATTAATAGCTCGCACTCTACTCATGAAAACAAAATTGCCAGACTCTGCATAAGGACATGTCATCTTACATGCTGCATCATTAGTTCGACTAAGACTCATAACCAACCACCAATACTCATCAATACAACTCGTGTTTGGGCATCAGCCAAACATTTCACACTTACGAGTTTTTGGTTGTGTGGTTTATATGCTTATTGCATTGCCACAACGCACTAAAATGGGACCTCAGCGCAGATTGGGAATTTATGTGGGTTTTAATTCACCATCTATCATTAGATATTTGGAACCCTTGACGGGTGATATATTTACAGCTCGTTTTGCAGATTGTCATTTTGATGAGACAGTATTCCCGTCGTTAAGGGGTAGATAAGGCCGTTCCAGAAGAACGGAAAAAGCTAAAATAGATTGTTCCCATCTTATCTCATTTTGATATACGAATCACTCAATGTGAAAATGAAGTGAAAAGGATCGTTCATCTTCAAGATATTGCTAATCAAATGCCAGGTGCATTTAATGATGCTTCGAAAGTGACAAAGTCACATATACCAGCTGCAAATGCACCTACACGAATTGATGTCCTTGTTGGACAAAATAAAGTGGCAGCGAATGATTCATCTAGTGTACGCCTGAAGCGTGGTAAACCCCCAGGTTCAAAAGATTTAGCTTCTCGAAAGAAAAAGATGAGGGCACAGTTAAACCCAAATGAAATCATTTAGGAAAAGAAAATGAATTATAAATTCACAATTCATGATTCTGTACTTCCAGCAAAAGAAAATGTCTTTGATGAGACACCTGTCCCTGAAGAGACAGAAGTACATGAAAGCAAAGAAATATTAATAAATTATGCATGTACTAATGAATTGTGGAATCGAAATGAAATAATCATCGACGACATGTTTGCATTTGCAATAGCCACTGAAATTATATTAAGCGATAACATTGAGCCCCGCTCTGTTGATGAATGCAAACAGAGACATGATTGGCCTAAGTGGAAAGATGCAATCCAGGCAGAATTAAATTCCTTGGAAAGGCGTAGTGTTTTTGGACCAATATTCCAAACCCCGCCTGGTGTGAACCCCGTAGGTTACAAATGGGTATTCATAAGGAAACGCAAAAAACAAGATTGCAAGATATAAAGCACAACTCGTTGCACAAGGTTTTTCACAAAGGCCTGGAATTTATTATGAAGAGACATACGCTCCTGTAATGGACGCAATTACATTCTGTTACTTAATAAGTTTAGTGGTTTCAGAAAACTTAACATGCGACTTATGGATGTCATCACCGCGTATCTATATGGAGAATTATATACTGACATATATATGACAGTCCCAGAAGGAGCAACTTAACAAACCACGAGGTATGTTCTCAATCAAATTAAAGCGATTACTATATGGGCTAAAACAATGTGGACGAATGTGGTATAATCATCTTAGTGAGTATTTGATTAAAGAATGATATATTAACAATGTCATATGTCCTTGTGTGTTCATTAAGAAATCAAATACTGGATTTGCTATAGTGGTAGTATATGTCGATGATATGAACCTAGTTGGAACTCCTGAAGAGCTCAATAAAACTACTGAATATTTGAAAAGCGAATTTGAAATGAAAGACCTGGGGAAAACAAAATATTGTCTCGGCCTGCTAATCAAGCATTGTGCTAATGAAATTTTGGTCCATCAATCAGCTTACATTGAAAACATACTGTAACAATTTGGCATGGACAAGGCTTATCCACTTAGCACCTCAATGGTCGTTCGTTCTTTGGACGTTAAGAAAGATCCATTCCATCCAAAAGAAGATGGTGAACTGGTCCTTAATCCAAAAGTACCATATTTGAGGGCAATAGGTGCTTTATTGTATTTAGCACAATGTACTAGATCAGATATAGCTTTTTCAGTTAACTTGTTAGCCAGGTATAACTCTGCTCCAACAATTCGTCATTGGAAGGGAGTCAAAGATGTTCTACGATACCTTCGTGGGACAACAGACATGGGTCTCTTCTACTCAGACAAGTCCACAAATGACCAGATCCTTGTTGGATATGCAGATGCTGGTTTCCTCTCTGATCCGCACAAAGCCCACTCACAAACTAGATATGTGTTCACTAATAGAGATACTGTAATTTCATGGCGCTCAACAAAGCAAACATTAGTTGGTACATCTTCCAATCACTCGGAAATAATTGCTTTGCATGAAGCAAGTCGTGAAAGTTCTTGGTTAAGATCAATGATCCATCACATTCGGAATTCATGTGGTCTATCTTCAAAGACAAATACTTCAACTGTCATCCATGAAGATAATGCAGCATGTATTGCCCAAATGAAGGAATGATTCATCAAGGGTGATAAGACTAAACACATATTTCCAAGGTTTTTCAGTGCACATAAGCTTTAGAAGGCTAAAGTTATTGAAAACAGACAAATCCGTTCCAATGAAAATCTGGCAAACTTGTTCACCAAATCTCTACCAAAGTGCACATTTCAAAAGTTAGTGCAGCGAATCGGATTACGTCTATTTACCAATCTGAAGAATGCGAAATCAAAGGGAGATACAATTCAGGGGGAGCATCTATGACACATGCATGTTGTACTATTTTTCCTTCGATTAGGATTTTTTCCTAATGGGTTTTTCCTATCAAGGTTTTAACGAGGCAACGTAAGCATGCTTAACACCATATCAACAACCCGGGTAAAGTTGTACTCTTTTTCTTTCGCTATGGTTTTTTCCCATTGGGTTTTTCCAAGCAAGGTTTTAACGAGGCAACTGGTGTTGATATGTGGGTATCCAAGGGCAAGTGTTGTAAATAGTGGGATTGTATGCCCACATGTGAATAGTAATGAATAAGGCATAATTTGTTGTGTTATGTCACGGGAAGTTATTTTCATTCATTGTAAATCTTCTATAAATAGATCACCACATAGGTGATCAAGACTGTACGAGAGAAAAACAACTAATAATAATAATATTCTTCACTTCATCTACAATCATTTTATGTTGATATAATATTTTACAATTAATTCGGTCCTGTCCCTTTTAACTTTTGTCTATTTATAACAAAGGTAGGCTAAAACTGGTTAGTTATCAAAATTTCCCTTACTCAAAACTTTGGCGGGGGATAGCTAGGGCACATCACAGTCCGTCTAGCTGATTCAAAATCGAATCGATTTTTGCAGTTTCGTCCTCGAAATCTCTCTTGATTTGCCATGGAAGTCCCCAAGGATGAGCCGCTGGCTGTTTTTCTGGATCGGACCTCACGCGCCACGAGAGGGAAGAGGTAATTAAATTAACCGATTCATTCGAGAAGTATCGAGATTTTGGACTCAATTTTTGAGAATTTATTTATTTATTTTTATGAATTTTCAGGATGACTAAGTTACTGGATGAGGAAATCGAAGAGGATGAGATGTTCTGGAATCAGGAGGCTCTCAAAGAGGTGAAAAAATAAATAATAAATTTATATTTGGACTAATTTTATATATTTTTCAGTGAGTTTTTTTTTTATTTGTAGTTTATGTTATGAATGAAAATTAAACTAAAAATTGTGGTAGGATGAAGATGATGGAAACTATGAAGCAGAGCCTGAGGTTGCTGACGAATTTGATAGCGATTTTGATGAAGATGTGAGGTTTTTTTTTTTTTTTTGGGGTTGTTTACTTTAAAATGTTAGTATTTTACTTGTTGGATCTTTTTTAGAGTTGCTTAATTTGTTTGTAGGAGCCAGACCCTGACGAAGGAGCGGAAAACAACGACGCAGATGAGAGGTGAGTTGAGTTTTTGCTTGAACAAATGACATTTAGATTTCTTTTACTCAGAATTGATGGTGTTTGGTGATTTTACAGAGTGAGGACGAAGAAGCGGCTGATATATCCGGGAAAGCAATCGAGCAAGAAGAAGAAGAAGAAGAAGAAAGTGATATCGGAATTAGAATCCAAGGATGGAAATGAGAAGTCTTCTCATCCCGAACAACATCAGGATGCTCCTGAGGAAGCAGAAGTAGAGAGAACTGTGAGAAAATCTACTAGAACTTCAGTGGTTGTCCGTCAAGCTGAGAGGGACGCAATACGTGCGGCCTTGCAAGCAACCATGAAGGTCAGTTTTCAATAGGTCTTGAATGAACTTCAAATTTAGATTGAAAATCTAGTGTCTATTGTTTATGAGATCGATGTGTTGATGAATTCATCATACCGTTTGTAATGGATATCAATTTTGGTTTTCATCAGCCGATTAAGAGAAAAAAGGAAGGCGAGGAGAAGAGGATGACTCAAGAAGAGATGCTCTTAGAAGCAGCTCAGACAGGTTTGGATTTCATGTCTCAGCATTAGTAATTAGTAATTAGTAATTAGTATGTGACGTGAATTGCATGGTACTTGTTAATGTTTGTTTGGAAGTGAGGCTGTAACTAAGCTTGAATTGTTGCCTGTAAATCTGCAGAAATTATGAACTTGAGAAATTTGGAGCGTGTTCTAGCGAGGGAGGAAGAAGTTAAGAAAAGAGCCATTGTACATAAGGCTGTCTATACTGGTCCACAAGTACGTTATTTTTCAAAAGATGGTAAGCTTTCGGCGTTACACTTTTCTAATCAAACTTGTTTGTTAGGAAAACAAGAGTCACCGTTTGCATATGCAGATTTTGTCATTTCAGTCAGAAATCTCTACCGCACCTGTTCCCTGTAAGTAGTAGTTTTATGAATGTAACATTCAGGGTTTCTTAAAGTTACGTATCATAACTGTGGTTTTGATGCGTCTATTTTTATTTCCAGACCCTGAGAAAGCTGTCTGTGCTGTTACTGGTTTACCTGCCAAGTAAGTGTTTAGGTTTCCGAGTAGTTGTTTAGACAAGCAGCTAAGAATGCCTATAGAGAATGTGAGCGATGTTTAAGGTGCCTATCTGACCATCCCGTTTCATTTGATGCTTTAGGTACCGTGATCCAAAGACAGGGCTACCTTATGCAACAAAAGAAGCTTTTAACATCATTCGGCAACGGTATGGTCAAAATTCATTGTTTTACATTAGTAGGCATTCACTTTCAATGAGCATATATTTCGATCCTGTGGTTTTAATATCCCCTTGTTTAGTTATATTTGTACTTGTAGATTCCCTGATATGTTTTTGGTTGTAAATTTTCAGTTTTCTACAGGAAAGTGGTAGGGTCAGGAAAGAGATGGACATGGGTGACTTGTACGGTTCACTTTCTGGTAAGGGGTTTTCTGCAAGGGGGAAGAGATCAGTGGCGTCAAATAACATCGATGCGTCGTATTCTCGATATTTTGCACGTTTCCGCAGAATTCCAGCTCTTGAAAGCGAATCATCTGATTAGGTTCCATGGTAATCCGAAGAGTATATGTTGAATCTGATAGTATTCTCATAGGAAGCCCTTGCTCAATGTCTCATGGTACTCTCGGAAGGATTTGTTTACCCTGTGCAATTTATAAAGGTAAGAATTGTTATACATTTTTGCGCGGAGGCCTAATTGGCATGGTACCAGAGAACAAAATAGGATATAAATTGCACGAGGAAAGACGATAAAAGCTCTGGGGGAGAAGTTGCGTAAGTATTTCAATTGTGTGCAGTTGTAAATTGAAATAAATCAATATGCTTATCTAAGATTGAGATATATGATTGAATTTCTCTGTAATTAGTTTGGCAGTAGGGTTGTATGGTGCAAAACTTGATCGTACTCGCGGGATGGCTATGTCCAACTACTGTTTTAGAATGAAGAGCCGGCGGGTTGCAACAGATGTAAGCAGTGTATCATATGATATATTTTGCATTGCATTTTATGTCACGTTGGTCATTGAAAGCTCCATTTTGTTGTTAATACTGAGCGTGATAGCGAGTTGATTATGCGAACCCATGCGTGTGCTTCTGCAAGCTGCAAACAATGTCATTACGACGATAAGAACCAACCAAAGTGTCAAAAAAAGAAAAGAATGGTCCATAGCACCCCCAATTCATGCTCCAAGGAAGGATTCAAAGTCAGCTCAATATATCAAATGCCTCTGCAGTGCAGCAAAAACACACACAGAATTGTCTAAATTAAAACTCCGATACACTTCTCTGCGTTGCAAATGACACATTGAATGGAAATCTAGCAGACCTGACGATTTTAAGCGTCGTTCCCCAGTAATACGTTTGATCAAACACATGTTACTGCTTTTTCTCTTCAGCTTTCTTCGGCTGAAAGAAACAACCAACGGAACCATGAGGAAAATAATATAGTTTAACAAAATAAATCCTTCTAGGCAGGAAGGTGAAAGATCATTTAAGATAAAAAACAGAGAGGTCTATAATCCTTCTATATAAAAGCAAAGGCCAAATTGGATTATTCATCCCGTGGTCATAGGAAACCTGCATGATGACCCCCGTGGTGAAAAAACTAGGAATTAAACCCTTGTGGTCAAGAATGTTAGTAAATTTAGTCCAAAAGTAAGATTTCTGTTAAATGACTGTTAAAAGTATATTTAAAACTGTATTTTCAGTTCCAATTGACATTTAAAATAAATAATTTTTTTATAACAATTAACAAAAAAAATAATGCTTAATTTTTTAAATAAAAAAAAAGCCCCAATTCAATGTCAATTGGAACTGAAAATACAATTTTACCCCAACTTTTAACATCCTTTAACAGAAATCTTACTTTTGGACTAAATTTGCTAACATTTTAGATCACAGGGGTTTAATTCCTAGTTTTTTCACCACGGGGGTCATCATGCAAGTGTCCTATGACCACAAGGATGAACAATCCAATTTAGCCAAAAGCAAAAGGTAGGATGCACATGCAAAAGCTACGGAATTGTCTTTCAAAAACCTGCAAAGGCACACACAAACATGTAGAAAGTGCAAGAAACATAAATTTTAAGTCCCCTTGGCACTACAAGGAAATGCCGCCCAAGCATCCGATGGCCTTCAAGATGAATATTGAATAATCCAAAAAATGTTGACCAATTTTGACAGACAAATAAGGATTTGGATGTGAACAGGTGATGCAACAACTATGATTTTAGATAACAAATCCCAACATCCCGGTTTCCAAATTCTTGCTTCATCTTGATGCATTTTCTATATTCAGGTAATCGTGGACACTAATGGTATTTAATGCATAAGAAACAAATAACACACCAATCATAAACTATGAAAACTGTGATCAAAATTGATGGTAAAGCAGATCAAACAGCAAGGAAAGGCCAGTGAAGCCAATCCTAAACTTTTAACACAACCAAAATGAAGGCATATATAAACATCGGCAACTGTGTGGGTAAAGACAGTGGTAAAGAGATACCATCATGATTCATCACCATCACCACGGTCCATGGCTCATGTCACGAGTCATGAGTCTTGCTTCCCATTTCAGAACAAAACGACCCTGACTGTACTATCATTATCGAAATCCACAAGCATCAGTCACAAACCGAAGCTTGAACAAGTCATGAGATGAAAGAAAAAATATGTAAAAACTTACCACCTTTATCTTATTGAATATGGCTTACAGGGAGAAAAAGGGTGAAAAAGGGATAAGTTGATCGCTAAATCTCTTTTGTACATGAACATAAAAAAAAACGCAGCACAATGACACCAAAAGCTGACCCTGCACTTCCGCAAAACATGAATTGTTTGCAAGTTTTAAAACAAATCTCAAAGAAAATGCTATACAAGGGTAAATATCAGTGTGGTTTGTTTATCATAATTTTGAATTATCTTTCTGGGGTTTAGGGTTTAGGGTTTAAAATTGAATATTTTCAAGTTTTAGATACAATTTTCTTTCATTTCATCTGAAATTCAGCAAAAGAGACGGTCACCCAAAGCGAAAACGGGGAAATTAAAAGAAGCCCAACGAATCTTTCGTCGATCAACCGAATGGTTATCAATGCAGCTGGGGGTCAGTTTTGAGTAACTAAGTGAAGAAATTGAATGTGAAAGACATAGACTGTAACATGTGATGTGTGCGCGCGCATACATGCGTATAAAAGGGTCGGATTTTGAAAAGGAAATATAGACAGACGCACAGGGTCATTGTGCACTGCACCGAGCAAGAATGGCAATCAACAATGGTGACTACATTTACAGCAATCAAAACAATAGCATAATTACAAGTTCCAAGCGATGCACGTTACATGTTCGACGAAATGTATGCCACAGACAGAGAGAGGATTCAATCACTAACAAAAAAAAAGCCCTTGGCCCTCAGCCTTTAGCTCTTAGATAGAGAAGCAAAATGTAAATTCTATTACCTTGGTGCCGGGGGCCGGTTGGTGGAGCTCGCCGCTGGGGATAATAACGGGCCAGGACTCGCCGGCGTCGCGGAACATCTGCTCGGTCTCGAGGCTCTGACCCTTTTCGAGAATCATGTTGCGGATATCCTGGGCGGGAGTGGCGGTGGCGTCGTAGACCTGCTCGACGCCGTTGACGAAGGTGACGGTGATCTTGGGGGGCTGGTCGTCGGTGCGGCGCTTGACTTGGACGGCGCAGGAGGGGTTGGACTCCTTGGCCTTGCGGGCGTTGCACTGCGCCAGGAACTCCAGACAGGATGCCGTTCGAGGGTCCAAGGCATTGAACTCGATCCTCACTCTCGATAGGAACTTCAACATGATATCTAACTGACTCTCAGTTTGTTTGTTTTGATTGTTTTGAGTTTTGGTTACTCGAGCGAGGGCTCAACAAAACAATTGTTTGAGAATTGCTATACAAGAGTATATTCCACACCATGGTCTTAAATGCCTATCGCCGATATTATCGGTTTTCCGCATTACCGATATTTTAATGGGAACTTTAATGAAAAGTACTCGGTACTGTTCATTTTAACAAAAAATCACATTTTTACACTAAAAAGTCAATCCTGGTACTATTCACTTTACTCTTTATTTTGTCCTTATCATTAAAACTCAAAATTTTCAAGCCTTTTTCATTAGTTTTCCTTATTTTAATAGGTATCTAATTAGTTTTCGTCAAAATATCGTGAAATATTGGATCTGTGCACATCGGAGAAGAACGCCGGAGCTTCTACAGCTCCGGCCGACTATAAAAGAGCACCCTAGACTCCGATCTAGGTATCAAAATGAAATAGAAGACGAGAGGAATGTTTTTATAACTTCTGTTTGCCGTGAAACGGTCGGAGGTGTTCGGAAAGTTCGTCAACACCCACGGCCTCGCCGGAGATGGGTGTGCCTATTCCCGAGCCGATTTTGTCCCAAAAATCTTGCAAAAACACAAGATAGAACTTAAATTTCACATCTAAGCTTCAATCTAGAACAGAAAGAGGTAAACCCGAAGCTTACCTAACCGGAGAAATTCAAGAAACTCGCCGAAGGGTTCCTGCGTTCGCCGAGTTGCAGAGACGAGAAGGAAAGGGAGAAAGACGAGGGTTCCTGCGTTCGCCTGATTTGACGAATGATCAATCTCGAGTGGTACGACGACGAGGAGATAGAGGAGGGGGAAGAGGAAGAGGAAGGGGAAGGCGACGTCGTAAAGGCGGAGTCGTCGTCTTCGACTAGCTTCTCCGATTTGATGAAATCGATGATGAGAGCGTCTAAGGCTTCCCAGTTAATTGGCGTCGAGTCCATTTTTTGGAATTTTCCAGGAAAATTTTGGACTGTTTGGTTGGAAGGAAAATGACGAGAGAGAGAGAGAGGTGGAGGCTCGGAGGGGAAAATATTATGTGAAACAAAGGGAAGACACGAGATCTTTCGTAAATTAGAGGGCAGAGAGGTGCGAGTAATGTTAGTGTCACCGTGTGGGTGATTTAGGTTTTTTTACTGACTTGTACGTGGACGTCTTGGGGTGTGCAAAATATTTGATCTGATCTAATTTGATTTGCGCACATTTGACGTCTACGGATCTGGAAAATATATAACAAAATGGTAATTTTCTTATTGTTATTTTATTTTGATTTTTTATATATAAAGAATGAGTACATTATAAATAAGTTGTGATTATATATGTGTTTGTGATTACATATTCAGCCTGTAATATTTATATGGTCGTTAAGATGTTTGCAAGGCTTGCAAGCTAATATTTATTATCTAGGATAAATTTCTGTATTTAAAAAAAAAAACACCAAGGGGATTCGAACCCCTCCCATTTTACTCCTTCAACATAGTGAAAATTTTGAACCTCATAGGAATTCTATGTGGTACTAAGTCACTCATGCATCTTACCATGCAATGTATAAAGTGTAAAATATTGTACTAATTCATTATATATAAATGATTATGGTGTGTTTAAACTTCTTTCATTAATTACTACATATTTTCTACACTCACAATGTTTGCCAGCTCGCTATATAATCAACTTAAATCAGTTAAATCCATCATGTAATGCATTTCCTTACAATTTTTTATGATAAACTAATAGATAATTGACTAAATAAACATCCTGCAAAGTTTCAATAAAAATTTTCAAGTTTTTCTTACAATTCCCGTGGTTTCCATATTATTTTTATCGATATCGATAATATCCTGATATTTCCATCGATATTTCTGTATTTTTGAACTACCGATATTTCCGATATCATCGATATTTTATACCCTGTTCCACACTAATGTTAACTTGTTGGGAAGCACTTTTAAAATAATAGAAATCTCTTTTAAAGAAAATGTTTTAGGTTACCAATGCTTAGTGGTTCAATAGGTGGAGTTTGTTCCTCTTAAGCAAGGTCTCGAGTTCGAGCCTTGTGAATAGAGAAGCCAGCATTGGGAAAGCTTGCCCCTCGAATGAGGTCCGATCCGGCTCGAGGGATTAGTCCTCACCTACGTGCGGTGAATACCCTGGATTCATCCAGAAAATG